AGACCTCCTGGTGACCTTGCTTTGTATAGAAAAACTTTTTTTTTTTCTACTCTGGAAATGCAACTAGCCAAGATAAAAGTTCTGTTTTCCACTCTGCAGCAGTCTCCTGTGCTGTGAAAAGACTCCTGGATGCCACAACAAGGAGGAGTCTAGCTGTGTCTCGCTCCCTTGGCCCTCTTGGTACAACTGTTTTTGAGAAACTGTGGTGGCCCAGCCACCTGAAAGGCCATCAAGGGGACGTACACATAAAGGAATAAAAGTTGGGAGATCTTTTAAGAATTTGAGAAACTCGTGGAAAGAATTGGACTGCTAATTTGAACAGTTTCACCTTGTGAAGACTGTTGTTGTTTTTTGTTTTCTTTTTTGTATTGTAGATTGAACCCAGGGCCTTCACACTGAGCTACACCCAGCCCTAATTCACTAAGTTGCCCAGGCTAGGCTTGTGCAATCCTGTCTCAGCCTCCCAGAGTGCTGGGAATACAGGCATGTGCCATCATGCCCGGCTTGGTTGGGAAAATTATGCTGAAATTGAACTTGATTCTCAAATAAATGGCTTGGTTTGGGGTGTTGTTTCCCATTATCATCATCCTGTGTTCATTGGGGAGAGTCAGCATAGATTTTTAAATTTATTGTGCATTCTTACATTCTCCAATCTCAGAGGCAAGGCTCAAAGCTTTAGGTCTTTTTTCTAAGTTGTTAAGTGGCCAAGGCAGGATGTAACACCAAGTAGGCTGGCTCAAGGGTTCATTCTCAGGACCCCTGCACTACCATTGCCATGTGCAGTCATATTTTATAGGTGGTCTCTGCATTTCTGGAGGAAATCTCACAGAGGTGACAGCTGCATATTTGGTGTTTGACCCCCTGGCCTTGGATAAACTTGTGGCTCAGTCCCAGGTTATGGGTTTGAAATGGCACTAACTCTACCAGCTCTGGTCTCTGGAGGCCCATGGGAAGGTGTGGAGAGCTCTTGCCATAGCCCCAGAGGCTGAGCCCTGCTGTCCTCCCCTGCTACCTTTCTCCCACCTTCCTGCTCATCCTGGGAAGTGGCTAATTCTGGGCAAGTCAGGATGATCGTAAACATGGGACCTGTCTTATATAAGGACCTAGGGTTTCATTGAGAAAAATCTTCTCAAGTAGCTACACAGCTGGATTGAAAAGTACTCCTTTCTAATTAATTCATCATATGAGAGTTGTAAGCTATACTTATATAAGGGCCTCCCATGCTTTCTGCTATTTTCTGTAGTTGTTTTGTACACTGTACTACTAGCCTGGCAATCCTTCTGCCCTCAGAAAACCTGCACTTGTACTTTTCTGGGTTTGACCTGTGAAGGACCCTAGGCAACACCTGCAGAACCCCAGCATGGCATAGGTACCGGAGTTGGCTTTACACCTTATTGAGCCAGGTGCCAAATGAAGGATTCTGGGTCCCAGTATGTACTTGGGACTTGGCGTGACCTGTAGGACAGAACTCATTACTTTTGCTGGGGGTAGAGATGGTGCCAGTAACACTGGATGAAAAGCAAGGCATTTCAGATGCCACTCTATCTCCTTGTTTGTCTCTTACAGACTTGCCTTAGAGAGGGACTTGTAGTACATAAAGTGACAGTTGATGGGACATTTTTAAGCCCAAGTATTAATTTTTTATGTTAATCAAAAATGTAGATATATTTAGAAAGGCAGGTAAAAAAATTAAATACTAAACTCTGAAATGACAGTTGAAGTTCAAGCAGAACCCTTTGGCAGAGGTGTAGATCAGCTTAGATTAGGACAGCCACTCTGAACATGAATTTCAGGATCAAAGCAATTTAGTGTATAGGTGGATGTGTGATGGAAGTTTGCAGTGTTCCTGGGCTTACAGCAGGTACAGAGCTGGCGTCACCTGAAGAAATCAAGTGGAAAGTTTTAATTTTTTTTAAAGAGAGAATAGGAACTATATGTAATTAACAGGATAAAACACCTATAAAAATTTAAATCTTTTGTCAATGAAATCGGTAAAATTAGCATAAGGATATTTTGGAAGGGCTTAAGGTCATATTCAGAATTAAACAGAAGACATCCAAAGGTAAAAAACAAAATGAGAAATTTCATTAACGGCATGATTCCATCTACCACATCTAAACAGAAGAGTCTGGATTATGAGTATCCCAACAGGTGCTTAATTTCAAAACTAACACCAGCTATTCAGATTGGCCAAATAAGCTGTTTCTCTTTTCTGTTCTGCCTGTGTCCTGCCACATATGTGCTTGATTTTAATGAAGACTACCCTTTGTAACTGCTCCTGAGAGCAAAAAAGAAATGGAATAACAAAGCAAGCCTGAGAAGTCCGGGCCCTAAGGGCTTTTTCCCTGGCTGGTTATGGCCATTTTATGCTTTGATACAAAAGGCTTAAAGGCTGTTTTGGGGAAAAGAATCATATCCTGATTATTAGAATACCTTGTGAAAAACCATCAGATAAACAGCTGTTTACCACCAGTTAGCCTAAAGCTCTCAGGTTATGATAAAAAAAATTAAGAATAAAAGAAAACAAAACTTAAAAGTTTCCTTCTGAAACCTTATATTCGGTTTTTGTTGATGCTCAGGGAAAATGGCTTTGCCCATAAGTCACTGTGACCTGGACTCAATGACATCAACTTGTACTGGGGCCAGTTAACCTAAGTCAAACTGCATTTTTCTCAGGTCTCTTCAGTTGACACATGGCATTTCACTGGTGACTTTTCATGTGATCTTTAACAAGAATAAGTCACAGTGATTATGCCCCAAGAGATGAGGTACCAATTATAATTCAGATTGACACTCCTGAAGAGATTTGTCAGTTTCCTGTCCCGTTCTAGCCAGATTATTTTGAAAACCTTGGAGAAAGACTGAAACTCCCCACCAATCTGAGACTGTATGAGAGTTTTTGCAACATTAACTGTTTTTCCAGTTAGGACAAGAATCCTAACATGGCACCCAATACACCTCCACAAATAAAGTCATTAACCAAATGAGCACTGAGTTGTTGCAGTAGACAGATGCTCCTTAATGGGACCTGAGAGGCAAAAAAAAAGAACATTGCTGAATCTATTTTGGAATAGAATGGGCACCAAGCCTGGATAATACTCTGTAATTCTATGCATGGCATTTTAGCACCCTGAAGACCTGTTAAGTGTTTGTAAATTGGTCATGATGTTTGTGATCTTGAAACGATGTCTGAACTCATTCCAGTGGAGTGAAAATGGCTTCTTTTGTCCCTGCAAGTAATTCTGCTACACTGTGGGTTGCAAACTCTGGAACACTGATGTGCTTATGGAGAAGGCAAGACAAATCCTCGTATACACCAAACATAAGTGCCATGGTAGTTGTTTTCTCATTTGTGGGGGAAGGATATCCTGATACAAGTTTTGAAATCCAGCCCTCCTCACCTGAAGTGATGAAGTACTGCATCCCGGATTTTGATTCCATAAAGCTGCTGCCAAAGGAGAACCTTCTGAATTGGAAATGTGATTATTAAAGCTTCTTATGGTTTGTGTTTAGATGTTTCCCCAAAGCCTCATGCAGATGAGGTAGGGCTGTCTTTGTCACAGATAGTTAAATCTGGAGTGTGTGATGCTGGGGTTAAGGGCATATGATTACTAAACCACTACACATGAGTGATTAGTTTGGCACTGCCCTAATCCTGGTAGTCTGGGTGGGATAAAAGAGGCAGGAAGACTTGTTGAAGGTCTCTTGTTGCCTTTGCTGCCTTGTGTGTGCCATGTTGTTCCTCCTCTGAGATGCCTGTTTGCCATCTCTGCCTTAGAGCCAGCTGCTTATGGACTGAAACTTCCATGAATTGTAAGTCAAATAAACCCCTTCCCTTCCAACTTTTAGTGTTGGGTATTTTGTCTCAGCAATGAGAAAAAATAACTAACACACAGCTGTTTCTCCAGAACTCTATTCTTGATTTCCAGCCTCTTCATTCCTGCAAAGGATGACTGAGTCCCTGACACCACAGTCTAGCTTATGGGCTGTCAGGGGACCTTTATCTAATAGATTCTGGCCTTAGAATTTCTTTCGAAGTGACTCATCATAGTGAAATCCTCACTAGCTCATCATTGACTCTTTGTCTCCCTGCTTATTGCTTTGGTCATAGTTTCTGGTTGGGTAGTGAGGAGCTGAGGGGGAAATAAGGAAATTAAGGCAGTTGTGGACAAAATGGGTATGTTTCCTAAACGTTTGACTACACTATTGCACAAACACTGGTGTGGCCTCCTGATGCCGGTTGAGAACATGTCATATGCCTGGCAGGGCACCATGCTCACCGGCCTATCTGTGCTGACCCTTAGCACTGACAGCTAGGAATCCTGCACTGAATTCCCCTGGGTATGCATGAGGCCTGTGGTCAGAAATACATTTATGGCCACTGTGGATCCCAGAGCTGACCCACTGAGAAACATTCATTCTCCAAGTGTCTGCTTGAAAGGGTACATGAATCAATATGGTTTCTTTTTTCCTTAGCTCTACAAAAATTTTTCCCACAAATACTCAGGGATTGAAAATGACAACAGGCATGATGTAAGTTCCCAAAAACAGGTTTCTGAAGGAAAATCGAGTGAGTGCTGATAGCTGCCACCTCCTGTGGCACTTGCCAGGCTACTGAGCTACTGTGCCCTAAACTGAGTGACACTCTCAGCTTGATCTTAGAGGGGCACTGTGAGGCCTATGGTGTTACTGTCTGCTCATATCAATGTAGCGTGGGAAAACAAAGGCCATGATGCTGAGCGGTCAAATGCCATGTCGGGCCTGGAGAAGCACTGCTGTGGCCCCCAAGCAAGGTCTCCAGAAGGGAGATCTGGGATTTGTATCAGGGGAGGAGCCTTAGCAAGATCCTTGTATTTTCTTATGCTGTCTTTTGGGGGTGGGGGAGTAACCAGGGATTGAACTTGGGCCCTTGAGCTTGCGAGGCAGGTGGCGAAACCACTGAGCTGAATCCCCAGCCCCTCCTGCATTGTCATTTATTGATTTGGTTTTGCATCTTCCAGAAAGAGTCTGCTGAAGAGGAGGGCCATGGACTTGATCACCTCTACAGCCATCCTGCCCTTGCTGTTAGGCTGCCTGGGCATCTTTGGCCTCTTCCAGCTGCTACAGTGGATTCGCATGAAGGCCTACCTGAGGAATGCTGTGGTGGTGGTCACAGGCGCCACCTCTGGGCTGGGGAGAGGTGGGTCGGGGATCAGTGCTGTTGGGTGTGGAAAGCCAGCCAGACATGATGGGAGGCTGGCTGCACAGAGACGTGCAAACAAGCTGCCACTGTCCTTGAGTCTAGTTGGAAAAACGTAGGGCCTTACATACAATGAGAAAAGATCCCTGACTCATTGTGGGGAGGCAAAAGCAAGTAAAAAAGACTCCACAGTCTGTTGAAAGGCCACCTAACTTAGCTCTGGCTGCTTCTTGAAAGAGGATTTTCATATGTAATCTCCTGATTTTCAAATATGGACAACTAAACAAGCATTTTTACCTCTGTGAGGACCAAATGAACATATTTCACTGGTTCAGCTAGCACCTCCAGCCTTGCACAACCTTGGAACATACCTTTGTCTTCCCTTTCCCTCTCAGGGCTCAGCAGGGTTAGAGACAGGATAACTGAAGTCTCAGCTGTTCCTTTACCAGGTTCTCCAGGTTAGGTGTACTCCCATTCAGTGACATCTCAACTTTCTGAGGCCTGGGCAGGGTGTAACTTAGACAGACATCTGGGTCAGTCAAACCCCTAGTCTTTCTTTGCCTAGAAACCAATGCATATGCATTGCTGAGCTATCATGGACTCTGGCAGCCAAGGCAAAGGGTACATGGTGTGAAGTCCCCACCCTCCTTTCTCAGCCTCTGCACACACTTCACACTGGTACCACCCACACTTAAGTGCATTTTCCAGGGAAGAGACTGAGAAGCTCTGGGAAATGCGATAGGCCACCTGCCACTGTGTGTTTTGGTGTTAGCACAGCCAGTGACCACTGAGGGTCTGTAAGTGCCAGGCTTTGTGCCAAGTGCTGGACAAACAGGTGATAGCCAGAGTCCCTGGGGCCTAGAGTCATGGCTTAGTGATACAGCATTTGCCTATCATATGAGGCCTTGTGTTCCATCCCTAGCACAGCAATAAAAACAAATGTATTAAAGACAGCATCCTTCTCTTAAGAAGGTCCGTTTGCCGGAGAAAGGCAAGGATTTAGCTGTGCTATTTTAGTAGTGGATGTTCCCAGTCAGGCCTGATGAAGGGAAGCCCAGTTAGTTCTATGTGCCAACGGTGGTAAGCATTTTTAAGTGTGTGATCTCAGTAAATTCTCACACCTGAGATTCAGAGGTTTGACTTTTGCCCTAGGACAGTGGTGGTGAGTCTAAGGCATGTGTACCATTGAAAGTTCTAAAAAGTTCACCATCACTGCCCTAGGACTTCTATCCAGAAAGCACAAAGCTAAGAATCAAATCCATATCTCTCTGACTTTAGAAGTCAGTCTTTTTTTGTTTTTTGAGAGGGTCTCACTATACAGTTCAGGCTGGCCTTAAACTCACTGTGTAGCGCATGCTGTCCACAAAGTCATGACAGCCCTCCTGCCTCAGCCACCGGAGTGCTGGGATGCTAGGCATATGCCACCATGCCTGGCCAGAACTCAGTTTTAAAGCCTCACCTGGGAGACATGGCCCTGTAAAAGGAAGGTGTGGCCAGTAGAGAGGGCATTCATGACAGGAGCAGTACGGTAGCACAGGAAATTGTGAGCAATTGAGAGTTGGATGAAAATAAGCAGACAGGGCTGAGGGATCCTGGGAGGACATTACAGGGAGTGTGGGTTCACTACTGTGGCTGTTAGGTGAGGTCTTCAGGGGTGAACCCTGAGCCTGTCATTGGATATTCAGACCTTTAAAGGGATAGCTGCCTCCTGGCCCTTTGCCATCAGTTGGTCCTCTGACCTTACTTAACTTCTATAAATAGGAGAGTAAGCAGCTGCTTCTTGATCTTGGAGAAAGCAATTTTTAAAAGTCCTTGAACAGTATTTGAGAGCTGCCTAGAGTGGTCACTGGGGAGTTGCAATTGTCCCAATATGAGGATGTTTCAGGAAGACAACTATCCTTTTCATTATTGTTCATCTCCTTTCAACTTCAAGACAGAACATAATAGAAAATGTAATTGAGAAAACCACTTCTGTACATGTAGTTAAGCCTTTCCTGGGTCCCAGCCACTTTGCTTATATCTGCCCCACTTAGCATCTTAAGGACAGAAGTCCCTCCATCCAAATAAAGTGAGAACAGGCACTGAATGGGCTGTCTCAAGTACAGACCCCTACACCTGATGCCAGATGCCACCAAGGTTGTGCTGCATTGGCTGGCTTCTGTGAGGAGCAGACCCAAGTTGTCCTCAATGGCTCTGCCTGCCATGTTAGTACTCTGGGAGCCAGGGGTTTATGATGAGTCTTCAGGCAGCTTTCCTATTTCTCCTATCTTTTCTGGTAGCTAGTGCAGTTAAGCTACATGGCGTTTGTCCTTGTAGACTAGTAGCACCACTGACTAACCATAGAATGTTCTGGATGCTTTCTTCAGCCATGCTGAAACTTATGGCTGTGCACACCTGTTCTGATTTATAGCCCAGACATGCTGGCAGCACTGGGGACTCCACTGCAACCCAAGGTAACTGCCTCCTTCAAACTGTTAGCCTCCTCGCCTTCTGCATCAGCTTTTTCAAAAAGAGATGGAATTGCCAATCTGTTGTTTTCATCTCTCTCATACCCTACACAAACTTTCATTTCTTCCCCTTTTGGCTTTACTAAGAAGCAAGGCTTAAGTGGAATTTGGATGATCTTTTTCCAGAAACTATATACCAGTATGCCTCCTCACCTTTAGTTCTTTGTATCTGCACCCTTTGGTGGCATCTCACAAAATAGCCTATATGTTAGGACAAATAGAGCCCAAGGTTCCTAGTTTTTGGGAATGATTCAATAAACTGGATGAACAATTCTAGCCTCAGGAACACGGTATCTGGCATGGTATGAGATCTACATCAGGCTCACTTCAGTGAGGCCTTTACTGCTTTGCTGAGAATGTGCCAGACACAGACATAGGCAGGAGCAGACTTCTCATGTCATCTGCTTAGTTCTTCCTTCCAGAAAACTGTCTAAGAAAGTGAGTGAGTGAGAGCTATCTGCGGGGGTGAGTGGGGAGCAGGGGTGGTTGTGGTACTGTTGCAGCTACAGAGAGGACAAACAGGCAGCATAGCACCTTCTTCCCATGACGCCTTAGGCCCTTGAGTTCTGAAAGACTCTGGAGTTTGGACTCCTTTCCTGTTAACCTTCTAGATTTAAGGAAACTTGACAAGTCTGTGAGGAAAGAAATGTTTAGATCTAATGCGCAATGCCTATATCCTCTGACCCTGTCCCCTTCCAGCTAAGCAAGGGATAACCCTAATCCCTCACCAAGCCCTTCCAGCATGGCTTCCAGAAATGGAATTATTGTTTACGACAAGCCTGGCCCTTCTAGGAGCCAGGAAGACTAAAGCCTAAGTCTTCCACTTGACTCTTTGGGCCTGTAAGATTTGTTCCAGGACCATGTTGTGCCCCACTGGTTAATCAAGGCCTAAGAGCTTCTTGTGCGCATTTGTGGAGACTAGTCCTTAGGTGAGGACAGGCAGTGCTCCACCTTATACCTACAAGTCAAAGCTTTCACCTGCAATTTTAAGACCAGCTTTTAAAGGCCACTTAGAAGGCCAGGCAGGGATTTAGTTCAGTGGCACCATGCCTGCCTGGAAAGCACAAGGTCCAGAGTTCGATCCCAGGTACCACAAAGAAAAAAGAACTATTTATAAAAAGGCAGCTTAGAAATATTAAAAAGTAGCCGGGCATCGTGGCACACACCTATAATTCCAGCACTCAGGAGGCTGAGGCAGGAGGATCACTGTGTGTTCGAGACCAACCTGGGCTACAGTGAGTTCCATAGCCGGGCATCGTGGCACACACCTATAATTCCAGCACTCAGGAGGCTGAGGCAGGAGGATCACTGTGTGTTCGAGACCAACCTGGGCTACATAGTGAGTTCCAGGCCAGTCTCAACTACATAGTGAGACCCTGCCTCAAAAAACCAAAAAAAAAAAAAAATTAAAAAGTAGTAAAAACAAGTACTATTAAAGACAGTACTTCATAATGCTTTTTATCTGCCCAGTATTGTTGGAAGGATTCATTACTTTGACTTATTCAATCTCACAGTTCTTCTTGAAGAGGAAAATGGAGGAAAAAATTTATTAGATATCATAGAACCAGTAAGCATGGGAAGTCAGAGTTGACACAGAAAGTCCCTTTGTTGGACCACTGCACTGCACTGTTTCTCCACAGCTGAAAGTTTTCAGGACCCTGAACAATTAGCTGGAATGTGTTTTAGGGTAAAGCAAGCAAGAGACATCCCCCTGGGACTCTGTCCTGCCTCACATTCACAGCCCCATCTTCCTAGGCCTCTCTTCTCTCCACATTCCACTCAGCACCCCTTCATCTCTCGTTTTCTCTTGGCCTCCCTACACCCTACAACATTTTACCACCTGAACCCCACCCCCAGCCTTGCAAAGCCTTTGACCCTCCACTTTCTGTCTCAGCATCCTTGGTCCCTGGCCCCTTAGGTGCTGTACACATCCTGTTCCTCTTCCTGGAGCACCCTGGGAAACAGCCCCTGAGGATCCAGAACTCCAGGGAAAGACTCACCACCCTTTCTCACAGTCTGCCCTGATTTTCTGCAGAGCAGCACAAGTCACCCATAGATCTCATACATTTGGGTGGCTTAAGGAGCAAGTCACATGGTTCTGGAAGACAGCCTCCTTAGATAGCTGGTGACAGCCAGGCTTACTTGTCCTAGTTCATTGGGATAGGTTCTCTGACTGACCATTGGGAACATCACTTGCTGAGCTGCTTCCCCTCTGAAAAATGAAGCTTATGCTCAGGGTTGTTCAAAGTTAAATAAAAGCATCAGGGAAAGTTGTAAGCATCATATGACACACATTTGCCCATCTCTTTGCCTTGTGATTGTTTCTCTCAGCTCCTGTCACTCCTCTGGACAGGTGCCCTACCTTGGGCCCTAACTTCTAGCTCCACACTGATCCATAGCACCCGCCAACACATGGGAGTTGCATGAAGAGACAAACCTGCACTGTGTAATGTTGGGAGCCTTCAAATTGTACTGGAGAGGAATAGCACTGATTGTCTTCAGTTGTTAAGATTCTTTTCTCTCCCTTAGAATGTGCCAAAGCCTTCTATGCTGCTGGTGCTAAGCTGGTGTTATGTGGCCGGAATATGGAGGCCCTCGAGGAACTTGCCAGAGAGCTCACAGCTTCTCGTTCCCCACAGGTAAGCTGGGCAAAGTTTCCTGGGGAAGCACTACAAGCTGCCTCCACAGACCCCTGAGGAGCCAGTGGTGCCCACCCAGTGCTCCTGGATGTCCACGTGGTCATGCTGTACCAGGGAAGGCAGCAGGGCTCTTCGTGAAGCGGGGACCATGGTCTATGTGTGGCTACCAACTAGCTGTGAGGGAGCCCCCTTTGCAGGAATGCTCTCCCCATTTTTTACCTAGCTGATCTCTGCTCCTCTTGAGTAGGGGTGGACAGTGCCTAAAATTTTAATTATCTTAAAGTGTGCATATTCATCATTTTAATTATTGATAAATGTAAAACTCATAGATATTAAATGCATTCATAATGGGGGTAACATTTACCCCTATCTCTACCCAAAACTTTTCTAACATACCCAACAAAAATTCTGTATGCATTAAACAATAACTGTCTCTACCCCAACGCCTGGAAACCTGTCTTCTACTTTCTGTCTCAAGGAATTTGCCAAATCTAGGGACCTCATATATTTGCCCCTCTGTGACTGGCTTATCTCACCTAGAGCAATGTCTTCGAATGCCATCTGTGCTCTACTGTATATCAGCATCTCCTTCCTTTTTAAGGCTGAATAAGATGCCATTGTATGTATATACTGTGTATTTGTCTACCCACACATCTGTCCATGAACATGACGAGTGTTTCTACTTTTTGGCTATTGTGAATAATCCTACTATGAACATTGTAAAAAATATTTGAGTTTCTGCTTCCAGTTTTTTGGAGAGGTTTTACTAGATCATATGGTAATTTTGTGTTTAACCTTTTAAAGAGCCACCACACTGTTTTCCACAACAGCTACACCACTTTGCATTCCCATCAGCAACACATAGGACTCCAGTTTTTCCATACTTGTTATTTTCTGGGTTTTTTTTGTCTGTTCTAAAACTATACCATTCTCCCAAGAGATGTGAAGTGATACCCCATTGTAGTTTGATTTTAATTTCCCTAATTACAAATGATGTTGAGCATCTTTTCATTTGCTAATTAGCCATTTACTTATCATTAGAAGTGTCTATTCAAGGCCTTCTAGAACTGTTTTGGGAGGTTTTGTTGTTTGGTACCTAAGATCGAACTCGGGACCTTATGCTTATGAAGCAGACAGAGGGACCACTGAGCTAAATCCCTGGCCCTGTAGAGTTTGTTAGTTAGCTCTTTTTGTTTACTATATATGCGAGTTTATTTTTACCTGAATATCCCAGTATACCTCCTAGGATATAATCTGTTTTTCTTTTTGTTAGTTAGCTCTTAATAGCTTTCATGGATTTGTTGAGTTTTCTATCAGTAGAATCATATCATCTGTAAACAGTTTTACTTCTTTGAGTTTAGGTGGCTTTTCTTTACCTTGTTTAACTGCTTAGAGCACTGTTGAATAGCAACAGTGAAAGCAGGTACCCTTGTCTTGTTCCTAACCTGAGCAGAAAGTGTTCAGTCTTTTACCATTGAATATGATGTTACGTCTGAGATTTACATGAACATCCTTTGCCATGTTGATGAATTTCCCCTCCATTCTTATTAAATGTTTTTATCTTGGAAGAATGATAGATGTCAAATCTCACTTCTATATCAATTATTGTGTATTTTCTTCTATCACTCTATTAATGCTATTACATTGCTGATTTTCTGATGTTGAACCATCCTTGCATTCCCTTTTAATAGACTGTTGAATTCAATTTGCTAGTATTTTGTTGGGGATTTTTGCTTCTAGATTCATAAGTGATATTGGTCTGTCATTTTCCTGTGATGTTTTTATCTAGCCTTGATATAAAAGTAATGTTGGGCTTGTAGAATGAATTAAGAAGAGCTTTTTCAGGCCAGGGATTTAGCTCAGAGGTTCCACCACCTGCCTTGCAAGTGCAAGTTCCTGAATTTGATCCCTATTACAAAAAAAAAAAAAAACTTTCTCCTCTTCAGCTTTTTGGAAGAATATTAGAAAGATGGATGTTTCTTCTCACAACAGGGATCAAACTCAGGACCATAATTATGCTTGCCAAGGCAGGTGCAGTGCTGCTGAGCTATATCCCTGGCCCGTTTCTTGAAGATTTGGTAGAATTCTTCTTTTTCTGGCTTCTTTGGTGATTATTTGATATTTTGTAGTGAACACTTTGATTCCCTTCTCATAGTCTTATATGTATATTTTGAGACAGGGTCTTTCTGTGTAGTCCAGGCTGGCCTTTAACTCACTGTGTAGCCCAGGCTGGCCTCAAACTCACAGTGATCCTCTTGCCTCAGCCTCCCAAGGGCTGGGATTACAGGTATGCACCACCATGCCTGGCTGGCATGGGTATTACATTTAATATTCTAAAGTTTGCAACACTGATTTAAATTTATGTCAACTTCAGTAGCATACAAAAACAATGCCCCCTCGTATGTAGCCCCCCCTTTCTGGTATTTATGTCACACAGATTAAATATTTCTATAGCGTTTGCCTGGTGACAAATTAATAATAATTTTTATTCATTTTTTTTGTACCAGCTATCAAACTCAGGCTTTTGTCTCTTTAATTATGTAAAACACAAAAAGATAGATTTATAAACCAAAATAATAATAGCTATTATAATTGCCCATGTATTACTAGAGATCTTTATTTTTTACTTTGACTTTGAGTTACTGTCCAGCTGCTTTTCATTTCAAACGTGAACAACTACCCAGAGAATTTTTTGCAGAACAGGTCTAATGACAGTGAACTCGCTCGGCTTTTATTTATCTGGAAATGCCGTAATTTGTCTCTCATTTTTGAAGGACAGTTGTATAGATGTTGACTTCTTGGTTGATAGTATTCTTTCATGACTTTGAATATATCAATCCACTGCCTTTTGGTCTTTAAAATTTCTAATGAGAAGTCATCTGATAATCTTAATCCCTTTTATGTGAAGAGTTGCTTCTCTCTTGGTTTTTTTCAAGATTCCCTTTGTCTTTCAGTAGTTTGATTATAATCTCAATGTGCTCTCTGAGTTTGTTCTACTTGGTGTTATGCTTCTTGGATATGTAGATTCATGTCTCTTATCAAATCTCAGAGATTTTTAGCCATTAAGATATTCTTTCTATCTCTCTCTGACTCTTTCCCTCTCCTTAAAAATCCACAGTGTCTGTTGGCCTGATTGATGGAGTGACATTTATCTTTTAGGCACACTATTTACTTTTCTTAATTATTTTTTTCTTTGTTCCTCAGATCTGATAATTTCATTTTTCTTTAAGTTCACTAATTCTTCATTGTGCTTATTTGCTTTTACTTGTATATCTATTTCACTTATTGTACTGTTCAGCTCCAGAATTTTTAATTTATATTCCCATCTCTTAATAGTTTCCTGTTTTTGTCCATGTCTCCCTTACTCTTTGAGCATAGTGAAGACAGTCTTTTTTTTTTTTTAAGTTTCTATTTGACGGTACTGGGAATTGAATCCAGAACCTTCACATGAGCTATATCCCAAGCCCTTTAAAAAAATTATTTTGAGACAGGATCTTACTCAGTTGCTCAGGTGGGACTTGAATCTGTAATCCTCTTGCCTCAATGTCCCAATGTGCTGAGATTACAGGTATGTGTCAGCACTTCAGGCTTTTTCATATCTTTGCCTAGTAAGTCCAGTATTTCTTTGAATATGTTTTTTAGAAATTTATTTGTATTTTTGAATGTCCATAAAACAGTCACAGATCTTTGAGTTAGAAGTTGCTTCCACTGCAAGCTGTAAGCTGCAGCAGCTGGTAGTACTTGAAACAATGCCAACCTGTGTTAGTGGAGCTGCTAGGCATCAGTAAGCTGATGGGTGAAACCTACCAAATTTACTTCAGTTTACCAGCCGACACTCCCCTGGAAGTTACAAGCATTCAGGCAAATCCCACTATTCCATAAGTATCCCTTCATAGTTTCTGTGAGTATATCTTTCTAAGTAGAGAAATGGATTCCTGGTGCTTCCTGCATGTTCTGCCATCTTCTCTGACTTTACCCCACTCATCTTCTTGGTCTCTTTTTACCTCACTTCTGTGGGGAAGCCCTCCAAATTACACTGCTCAATTACTTATTTCTTTAGTACCATGTGCTTCTCCATAGCATTCTTTCCAGTTACAGAACTAACCTGTCTTCTCCACTAGACTGTGTGCTTCAGCGGGACAGGAACCCTGTCTTATTTTCTGCTACATCCCAGTGCCAGGCACAGAGGAGATAATGTAAATAATGTTCCATAAATAAATGAGTACAAGTGACTTAGGCTGAGAAAGACAGCAACACACACACACACACACACACACACACACACACACACACACATGCACTGCTGCTTAAGGTAGGAACCGTGGACAACAGAGCAGCATGGGGAGCTGTAACTAATAGCTCCTGTGATGATCTACAGCAGACCATGCCATCCATGACCCTGGACTGGGCAGCTTACAGTCTGACTGATGAAGCTGAGAGCAGCCCCAGATCACCTCTTGTAAGATGCTGTCCTTTTCAGTTCAGGAGAAGTTTCCCAGGTAAGGTATGTGCACAACAGGCAGGAACCCTGTAGGCTGCATCTTTTGGGAAGAAGGTTGCTGCATCCTATGTCATTTCATGCCCAGAGGGCCATTCTCAGGACTCTGAAAAGCAGGGACACATTACTCAGCAAGTGCATTTGTGTGTGTTGTTTTGACCAGAAGCAGACACATAAGCCCTACACAGTGACCTTCGACCTCACAGACCCTGGGGCTGTCATGGCTGCAGGAGCTGAGATCCTGCAGTGCTTTGGCCATGTGGACATCCTCATCAATAATGCTGGTATTAGCTACCGTGGAGCAATTATAGACACCACAGTGGATGTGGACAAGAAGGTTATGGAGACAAACTACTTTGGCCCTGTTGCTTTAACAAAAGGTAACAATCTTGGGTTAAAAGAGAAAAGGCACTGATGTGTTAGCATTCTTTTTGTCTCAGTTGATTCCATTTTGGTTAGATCTTGCCAGTCCCTGTCTGCTGTTATACCGTGCAGGGATTATGGTCATTACAGTTGGGTGTTTTTTCCCCCACAGGCCTTTATCTATATTTTATGTGCATTATTCCCACACATTAGGGTCTCTGCAGTGCAGCCTCATTTGCACAGCATTGCTTGTATGTCTTTCCCATGATGTCTGCAAACTTGAACAATGTGGGGATGCTTTGATGCTGGCCACAAACATCAGTCCAGGGGACAGCCTCCCATAGAATAAAGGCACTGTACTGACCATTCTTACTTAGCTAGGCTGTTTATCGGCTCCCCCTGCCTCCTTCCCCCTCACCAAGGGGCTAACACCTCCTGTGGCTGGGAGAACAGTGCCATCTATGTCCCTGCATTCTCTCTTCAGTGCTCCTGCCATCGATGATCAAGAGGAGGCGAGGCCACATCGTCACCATCAGCAGTGTCCAGGGCAAAATTAGCATTCCTTTCCGATCAGCCTGTGAGTACTTGCTTCTCCCTCATCTAAAATGTTTTTATTTTTTTATTATAAAAATATGTTTACTTGCAATATTCATATGTTGAAGAAATACCCTTTACAGAATGTAAAGAAACCATAAAATGTGAATGGGATTTTCTAGAGTCCAGCTTTATCCTTACCCACTGTGACCTTGGGTAAAAATCCTCCCCTCTCTGTGCCCACCCTTGTTTTCAAATAAGAGACAGTCCCCCAAAATTAAATATACCAACTTGCTTTGCAGTTCATACGTTCCTTTCCACATAGGAGAGTAGCTATGCCACAATCTAATATGTCATTTCATCTGTCCCTCCACCTGTATGTCACACCAGCAAGCAAAAGAGTATAATCTTTGCTTTTTAAAAGATTTTAAAGGAAATTTCATAAATCATCTTAAGTCACTTGCTTTGCTGCAACTTCTGAAAGGAAAGACTTGGGATAGCCTCATCTGCTGTCACCACTCTCAAGGCCCAGACACAGCTCTGTCAGGAAGGAGGTGGGTGGCTAAGCTCTTTCAGAATTTTGAAAGGATAGTGACAGTTCAGTTTGATAATAAGATGTGACCAAATATCTGAGTAGAGGTTTATTCTTTTCCCTAAGATCTGAGTTCCTGCTCTGTCTGTTGGCTCTGGTCACATGTCTATGGACCTGAACTCACTCCCTAATTCCTTTCTTCTTCATGAGACTTAACGCTCATCAGAATGCTTCCCATTGCTAGTCAAAAAGATGAGGTGAGATCGCTGGAGATGTCCTCTATAAATTGAAAAGAGTTGTATCCATATTTATCTCTAAGGGTTCTGTTTTTTCATATTCAGTTTCAACCCTGCTCAAACAGGACAGCAACTTAAGCCTGCTCAAGGGGTTCAGAAAACAAAAACAAAAACAACTATATGAAATCACAAATGATAAAGCAACTAAGGTAAAATGTTAACAATAGGTAAATCAGAGTAAAGGACATACAGAGTTCTTTCAACCAAATTATTTCCACATTTTACTTTGGTTTAACCCCACTGGCTTTTACTTTCTTAACAGCCTGCTGACTTCAGTAGGTGCCATGATTGGTCTCATAGTATACAGCAGTGGTGGAGAACCTATGCCACATGTGCCACAACGGACTGTTTGTATCATTGAAAATTCTAAAAGGTTTTCCATCACTGCTGTATAGTAACCAGACTGAATGAGTGGCTATGCTTCCTGGGCAAGTGGGTTAACCCAGAATAGTAGCAGCCTCCTCACCTATTAAACCAAGGGAAGAGCCTCATCTCCTTCACACTGCTGCTGAGAAGCCATGTCAGATGATCAGTGCACAGAGGGGGCAGGTGTTGGTGACAGTGATGAGGCCTTGGGCCAGCTCATCCTAGCTAAGCACCTGAAGCCTGAGAGATCTGAGGAGACCCCATTCTTCATCCTCTGGGGTGGGCTGGCCCTGGAATCACAGCTGACAGGCATGTTCTCTCCACCCACCCATCCCCCACAACCAGCTGCTTCTGGGATTTGCTGTGACATTTTCCTGGCTTTCTCCCTTCCTGGTTTTTTGTTTTGTTTTATTTTGTTATTTTGGTACCAGGAATTGATCTCTGGACCTTGCACTTGCAAAGCAGGAGGAAGAATCACTGAGCTAAATCTCCTGCCCTCCCTTCTTGTTTTCTTGGCTAATGGGTGATGCCCTTTTTTTACTAAGACTAAAACATTTAGGACTCTGAACTGGAGGAAATTGATTTTCTGTGAAGATGTTGGTATATTTTCCAAGGACATTCCTTCAGAGTCCTTGTATCCCCTCACTTTTCACTTTTCTAAGCTGTTGCTGAGAAGCAGTGGTAATTCTGCCTCTTACAGGTAGAATAAGGTCTGTGGCTTTTCCAGATGAAAGTTATAGTGTAGAAGTTCACCAGGAGAAGTTTATAAGAAGCTAGGCATGGATTTTTGTGCACACATGTGTGCAAGGATCCTCACTCATAGCATGTTCTACAGTGACAAAAGCTGGAAATAGCCCTTGAGGTCCATTGATGAAACTAGTATTGTCACCTGGTAACCCCAGGGAAAGACTGAGCAGCCAGAGCCAGATGAAATGAGATAAGCTGAGACGTCGTTGTGGCAGGTCTGTAAGGCTGGCACGGAAAGAGGCTGTCCTACCTGTGCCAGGTGAAGAAAATTACTTGTAGGAACAATGGGGACAGTGTGAGCTCCTTCCTATAAGAAAAAAAAAAATTACTTCAGGAGAGCACTGAGTGAAGTATTTCAAGGACTAAAACAACCTATAACCTGGATTAATTTAACTCCTCAAATTATCTTCAAATTAGTTACTCAGAGTACAACACATAGAAAAAAATTCTCTCTTACCAAGAAGGAACAAAAAAATAATAACACAACACTTTCTTTTCAATGAACTAAGAGAAAAGACTACTATAAATGAAACAAACTGGCATATATATTAAAATACTTTTGAAACAGGAATAGGTAATATGGGGAATTATTTGAACTTCTCCCTATTTCCTACTTATATATCTTCTATTTTGTTCTTTATTTGTATATATATTTTTTCTCATATAAGAGAAATCACACATTTTAAAAAAAATACTATTTCTATGTAAAATCGTGTGTTTACACATAAAATAAAAAGTTTGAGAGGGCCAGGGATTTAGCTCAGCGGTTCGGTGGCCTGTTTTGCAAGCGCAAGGACCTGAGTTCAATCCCCGATACCAAAAAAAAAAAAAAAAAAAAGTTTAAGAAACAGCATTGGTCAACTCTGACATCAAAATTAGAAGGATTTTCACTTTTTCATTTTATTGTGTGTACTATTTTGAGTGTTACTTAGTAGGTGGTGTTTTTTAACTTTAAACTTGGAATATTTCAGACAAAAAAAAATGTTATAGGAACAGCATAAACAATTCCCATGGGACTAACATGTAGATTCCCCATTTAACCTTTTCCTTGTTTGCTTAGCATAGTGTGTGTGTGTGTGTGTGTGTGTGTGTGTGTGTGTGCGCACGCGCGCTCACGTGCATTTTCTTCCTAAGCCATGAGAGGGGGCTGAGCACAACGCTCCTTTCCTCCTTACTATTTCAGGGTTTTCTAAGAACAGGGGCATAGTGCACATCTCAAAACTAAGAATGAACATTGCTATAATGCTGTACTCTTGGTTTTTGTTTTGTTTTGTTTTTTTTGGTACCGGGGATTGAACTCGGGTCCTTGCACTTGCAAGGCAGGCCACCAAACCACTGAGCTAAATCCCCGGCCCATATAATGCTGTACTCTTAAACAGTAAAGCCAGGTTTTAGAGACAGTGAATAGAAATAAATAGGTAGGCTTTGGGCCTTGCCCACTACACTGCCTCACTGCCTCTTTCCGCTGTTGCAGACGCAGCCTCTAAGCACGCAACCCAGGCATTCTTTGACTGCCTGCGTGCCGAAATGGAACAGGATGACATCAAGGTGACTGTCATCAGCCCTGGCTACATCCGCACCAACCTCTCTGTAAATGCTGTCACCAGTGATGGGTCCAGATATGGAGGTGGGGCAGGGCTCTTTTTCTCCTATAAAAAGCTATTGGAAGGGAGGGGTGGTGGCACATGCCTGTAATCCCAGTACTTGGGAGGCTGAAGCAGAAGGATCACCAGAAGTTCAAGGCCAGCCTGAACTACATTGCAAGACCCTGTCTCCAAACAAAGCAAAGAAAGGAAAAGAGGGAGGGAGGCAGGCAGGCAGGCACACATGCAGGCAGGCATGCAGGCAGGCTATTGGACAGCCAGAGTGGGACATGCTTCTTTTACCTCAGTGATTTTTTGGTCATTTTCATTTGGAAGACAATTTTTTAAACTAAAAATCCTCACATAGGTGTTGGTTATAAATACAGACTGTTGCATAATCTCTACTTACTCCACTAAGAACCACTCAGCCTATGTTGAGGACTCTGGGGCATAGAAAGGAAGTCTTTCAGCTAAAGTGCCACCAAACTTCATCTAACCCATTCCCAAATCACAAGGTCCAAGAAGTATTGTTATGATCACGCCTAAGTGAATTAACCCCATGGCAAGTGGGAAGGTTTGACCTGAACAGTCCCTACCCATGTTATGACTGATTTCAGGCCTGGTCTTCCAGGAGAATCTGAATGTGGGGCAATAGTTTCAGTCTGAGCTGACCTGCAGTTGTCACTTATGGGCTGAACTTCTGGCCTATCCCATCCCAGTATGCAGACACAGGCTGTCTCAGGTCAGATGGCCCACAAGTGCCTCCCTGGGCTTGGAATAGGCCTGCCTGCCTGCCTCTGTACTACTGTCCTGCTCTGTCCTGCTGCTCTGGATGTGATCTCTGTGGGTCTTTGCATAAACCTACCCTGCTAGGCCTGAACCAAGACTGCCCTGTCCTGGTTGGCATCTGCTCTCTCATACAACAAGTCTCACCATAGCAGAAGCCACACAGAGTCAAGAGCCAGACAGCTTCATACCTATTTATCCCTGGAAGATAGATACTGCTTTAAAAATTCTGTCTCTGGCATTTAAAAATAAGCAACAATTGAAATTCCCCATTCTTCTGCAATGGCACATGAGAACAAACCCAGTGGGGGAGTTTGGGCAGTCTGTACAGCTTACAGATGGTTTCACATGGCATATTCCAGTGGCCTATCTCCTGCACCTGCTTAGTGTTCCTACTTTGCCAGCAAAGTGTCAGATCACTAGTGAAGAAGGAACATCAGTTCCTGTCCTACTCACACCTCCTAAACTCTCCCCGCTACCTCCTTCCCTCCAACACCTAAAGCAAACCATGGATTTCTTCCTATCTCATCCAGATAACATGACTTTGACAGCTAGGACATATTGATTTCCATGAGCTGGTCATGCATGTAAGGGTCAGACAGTCCTCCCCATCTCTCATCTGGTACCTGAAGCTAAGCCATCCCAGACAAATTACATGTGTAACATCACTTAATCATGGACTGTTCAAAGATGCAAAAATTTCCCAGGTCAGGAAGCTCCTTCTCAGATGTGTGAAACCTTACTTGAGCTGGCCTACCACTTTCACCATAGACCACCAGGCTGTCTTGGGTCAAATCACCAGATGTACTTACTTTGGTTCCAAGCAGAGTGGGACCTCCAGTCCTCACCCTGTATCTCCCTTACCCCCACTTACCTACTTTGAACTGTGAATGCTTCCTCAGAACATAAAATCATCAGGGCTTGGCACTGTGGCACACATCTATAATCCTAGGACTCTGGGAGGCTCAGGAAGGACAATCACAAGCTGAAAATGAACCTGAACCTGGCCATCTTAGCAAGACTCTGTCTCAAAAGTCTAAAAATTTAAAAAGGGCTGGGGATATAACTAAGTGGAAAAACCCTGATTTCAATTTCCAGCACTGGGGATGGGTGAGGGTTAGAATAACAGATGCTTCTGCTTCCTGGCAGATTAGGAAGAGCTCCCTGGTAGTGAGTGCAGCAAGCTGACCTAAAACCCATGTCAGCTCAGATCCTCAAGAGTGGGACCTCTGCTTCATGTGTTTCTTTTATTTATTTTAGCTATTGACAGGAACACAGCCCAGGGCCGAAGCCCTGCAGACGTGGCCCAGGATGTTCTTGCTGCTGTGGGGAAGAAAAACAAAGATGTGATCCTGGCTGACTGGGTGCCTTCCTTGGCCATTTATCTTCGCAGTCTGGCTCCTAGGCTCTATTTTAGCATCATGGCCTTCAGGGCCAGGAAGGAGCAGAAATCCAAGAACTCCTAATGTGGATCAGAGCTGGGGCTGAGAATCAACACCGTGTCTACAAGGGACAACTGCATTTGTTGAGACTTGAGTGGAGGTTTGCCTCACAGGTGGAAACACTGAAGAAACACTTCCCTGGCCTGGCCCCTGTCCCCAGAGAGTGGGAACCAAACCAGGCAACAAGTTTCTTCCCAAGGTGAGGGGTAAATGCATAAGGAATAAATATTGTGCAGGGTTTAAACTCTAAAACTACAAATTAAATGACTGGAACAGTAAGTCAGTCTTCAAGGACTAGAAGAACCATGTGTCCTTTGAATTCAGCCCCACCAACTCCTAGAAATGGCCTTAGTCTTGGAATCAAAAAATGCCCTGACATCACTGTTCTCATATTTGACTTATCCAAAAACATTTCCCTGATTATTTTGGCAGAGAGACAACCTCCAGTGCTTGAGGGTGAAGGGTATAGTTTCAGGAACTCGTTATTCATATTTTTTCCATGGCCCTGTGATGGCTCATTGAGCATAGAAGCCAAGCTAGTGTGGTTTATTGGGTATATCCCAAGTGATGTCAATTCTAGTACCAACAGCAGTTCCTCGTGTTCCTTGGGAGTCTCAGTGTGTCCATGCAGGATGTTAGGCACCCCTTCAAGCAAAAGATGAAGACAACAGTCAAATGGAGAGATCTCAATGGCCCTGGTACCCCAGAACACGAAGACCTGAGAGATGACTAAAACACCCCTAGTCTCCTGGTGGAAGAAGTACCTTAATAGGAACTAGTTGGAACATCTGCCTTTCTAGTTTGTTAAAAATATGTGTTTCACTGAGTAGGTCAACTTCATTTCTGAGGTTTTAGACATTTTTCCTATTACTGAAATTGAGTATTGGAATAGCAGTTCCATTATAGATGTCCCCAAATTGGAATAAAAATCACCTAGTCTTGGGCCGGGGATTTAGCTCAGTGGTTCCACTGCCTGCCTTGCAAGCGCAAGGACCCAAGTTCGATCCCCGGTACCAAAAAAAAATCACCTAGTCTTGGGCCGGGGATTTAGCTCAGTGGTTCCACTGCCTGCCTTGCAAGCGCAAGGACCCAAGTTCGATCCCCGGTACCAAAAAAAAATCACCTAGTCTTTGACATCTTGCACTGCATCCCAACTCTAGCCATGTCTTCTATTTTAAACAGCTGCCCCCAAAGGATTATAAAAATAGCCACGAGTCTAGGGTAAGGGAATTAGAGGCTTTCCAGTTTCCTGGGAGTAGGAGGACCTGTAGGTGATTAGATCTGCCCCAGGTCACGGAACTATATCCTGGAAAGATCCAGGAACCTCTTGTGAATTGCAAATACAAACGAGGGGTGCTGCTTCATTTTCCACATAATCATCCACACCTGTCCTGGCATGGGAGAAAGGGCTTCGAGTGTTCACAATAGATCCCAGCACCAGAGTCACTGGAGCCAAGGTGGTAGCAACTGTTCTAGACTTCTAGAGCTCCCTTCCAACCCCACCCCACCCCTAACCCAAGTTGAATGAGGATGCCCAGCACCAGCAGGCCTCCCAGTGCATGGCAGGAAAATGACTTCCTCCAAAAAGAACAGAACATCTCTCCATAGACACTTGTTGACTGGCACTTGCAGAAAGGCCTATATCCATCTGCTTGTCTGGTCAGCCACGACGGATACACTAGACTGCAAGCTTAGTGACAGCATACTCCATCCTCAAAGACAAGGAACATCACATGTATTTGTAGTGCTGGGGATAGAATCCAGGGCCTTGCACACCTATACACGTGTTCTACCACTGACCTACAGCCCCAGCACTTACCACCTAACATTTTAAAAACTTGCTAAGACTTACTTTAGAAATAGAATATAATTCAAACAGTATTTATAAAAATCTAACTAGATACAGCTCCTTGCCTAGAGGCTGAGCATAAGGCTTAAGAAGGTTGCTGACAAAGTATAGAGGTACAGAAGACACACGAGCACCAGACTGGTGATCTTTTTAGCCTCAAAGACAAGACCCAGAGGATCTGGGATCACCTTTGCTGCTCCTAGGTTGAGATAAGCCTGAATTGTCCCTGGAGAGAGCACTGGTTTGAACACATGGAACTTCCTGAGGCAGCCCTGGGACTGTTCTAACATGGATAGCAGCTGACAGCCTTCCTGTGGACAAGGCCTACCCAGTGTTCACCTGGACATTTCCTCCTTTGCGCCAGCTTAGCCATGACCTGGCCTCACCTCATGGCCTCTGAGCAACCATTTGTTCTTGGATTTTTCAAACCTGTGTTTAAGCAGTGGCCACCATGAGTAGCTGTGTTGCTATTGTTCATTTTACTATCCTTGAAGGTTAGCGATTTTTTGGCCCACTTTCCTCAAGTTCAGCTGGGAAGTATGAAAAGCATTTTTAATCAGTTCTTTATATATCTGATAAAGTTTAAAGACACTTTCCACCTTGCTTGTCAAGCCTTTTACTGTTTCCCTTGAGCCTGGGCAGCAGCAGGCCATCCTACATTTGCTGTCCAAGCTTGAGACTGAAAACTAAAACCAAGTAAGCTTTACCATCTAGACAGCAGCCCCTCCTGTGCTATGCTGAGGGGAAATGGTGAGTGCACAGCCTCCTTGGGGTCCCCAAGCTCATAATGATCCCCCTCTCTATCAGCAGGGACAACAGTGCTGAACCAAATGTGAAAACTGGAGGAGCAGAGGAGGCTGAGGAGATGGCGGAAAGAAAAGCTTATCAGGGTCTGCATCTCCACTTTTCCTGTGTGTCCCTTCACATAGGTCTTTCTCTCTCTCTCAGAAATTGGGGTAGGTGGTAAAAACTAGGCCAACTTACTAATTAGTTCCATGGCTGCTCCCTAAAATGTCTACATAGGACTCACTTTGGACTTCACATAGCAAGGCCTTTGCTTCCTCTCAGCATTTACTGAAAGCTCTTTCTGTAAAGCTCTATGGCACATCACAGACTGAGCTCGAGCCACTTCTCAGGGACCTTGCCACACCTTCAGGTCTGAGCAAAGGGTAGCAGGAAGGTGTAAAATGTTCTTCTGTGTCTTTTCCCATGGTCTTGCCTTAGGCACACCAGCCACTGCCCTCACCTGCCTGGCCAGGGCCCGCATAACTAAGATTGCACTTCAGGATCTGGGTTAGGACAAGTCACTTGTCACTTTGTTCAGTGTAGCCTGCAAAATGGTGAAGGATCCACCGTGTGCACCTGATTTCTATTTTGGACAAGAGCATCTGCTCATCTGATTTGCAATCCTAGGGCCTGTCATGTTCCCCTCTCCCCCTTGAAACTCGAGGTACAGAATGAGCACTGCCAGAGTAGGCACAGACCCAAATCTGGGTCTTTTTGTTACAAAAGCACCTACCATGCTGTGCTTGCCCAAGGGATGGGTGCCAATTCCAACTTATCCTGCACAATCGAAATGAGCCTGTTTGTTTTGGGTCTCTATGGCCAAGGCAGCTCCCTCTTTACCAATCTTCCTACCGGCCAAACACTGCTGTGTAAACATACTGTGCACCTCACACCATTCTGCCATCCAGCACTCAACTGAGCAGATGGTATTTCTAGGGCCCCTGGAACTAAATCAAATGTTCTTAAAACTTTTTTAAAGCTGTGGATCTCCCTAAAGATTTGCCATACACCACAGGTTAAGCACCCTGCAGTGTGGACTGGGCTTCCTGGATGGAGCCCTCATAACTGAGTGAAAGGTCAGTTTAGCTGACCTTAGACTTTTACACATTGCCCACCCCTCAGAACAGATGCTGGTGGCTCTCAGCAACAGGCAGCACTGAGGCCTCAGCCTTTGTGGAGGGACAATTCCTCGTGCATCCAAAGCTTTAGCTCTAAGCTAAGGGAGAAGCACAGGCCTCAGCTCCTATGAAATGGAACCTAGACTGTTTCTAGGGCTCTTCCCTCACTGGGGGCCGTGGGTCCACATCAAAAACAGCTTTTTAAAAACACAAATGTTAATTTCTGTGTCTTCCTAAATCAGACTGTCTGGAAGAGGGCTCTTGGGCCCCCAATTCCCAAGTGAACCCAAAGGGAGGCCCTGTGACCTCTAGGACTTACCTAATCCTACAATGCCCCTGAATAGCATGTCAGCAGCACTGGCCTTGGGAACAAGCCAGGGTGAGCCATGAGACCATGTCTGGGCAAGGTCTGGCAGCACGACTTCTGATCTAGGCATGTCATTGCTGCAAGTGGTGGCACCTGGCTACAGTGGGCAGGGTAATGTCCGCAGTGCCACACATCTCCATGTAGCAGCAGCTGCGGGCACAGGCATGGACAGAGAACAGCAGGATTGAAATTCTCTTAATTTTAATGGTCAATAGCTTCTGGTTGGCTCCGAATGGTACAGTTAAACAATATACTTAAAGACACCCTCCCCCCCCAAGCGCATTCACACACCCTCAGCAGCATTGGCTTCCATCCACAGTCCACTGCCTAGTTAAGATTTCCATAACCTCAAACGCCCTCTGGGGTTATGGAAATCCACATTTTTGTAATAAGCTGAAAAAACCCTTGGTACACCCATGATCTGTGTTCTTTTTTAAAAAATAACAAATATTAAACCAAACACCTTCCCAGGCTCCACTGCCGCATAGAGCAAAAAGTGTTACTGTGGCAAAAAAACCTCTGCGTCCTCTTGTCTCTTGCAGGCTGTGTGGTTCTGTTCCCCTCCCTATTCACTGCAGTCATACAGCATAGAGTTCGTAAATCTTCTTTACACAGTACACCAGGGCAGCCAGTGCTATCGTATTGTGCAGTCTCTTTCTGTGCAGGTCGTCCTTCCGGACCAGCACCACTGGGGTAGAAGAGGTGAGTGTGTGCAGGGGCAGTCGAGACAGTTTATAGGCATCATACTCCACTTGGTACTTGCAGCAAGGGTCAAACTGCCAGGAGATCCCATAGAGGGTGCAGCAGGTCAAGCTCAGCACTCCAGCGGGCAGGGAGATGTAGTGAGAGTAATCTAGGGGCAGTGCCAATGGGGTGAAGAGGCAAGCAGTGCCCGCCAGCACAGCCGTCTTATGCAGGCAGTTGCCCACAGTGATCCAGCGCGCCGTCTCATCACCGATTCGAGTGGGCTCGATGACAATGTATTTGTACTGGGCTTCCAGGGCCTGCTCCAGCTCGTACTCAAACTGGTCCTGGGCATTCTCACCATTGTAGATCTCATGCACGATGTAGCAGTCTGTGGCCGACAAGGTCACCCTTTGGTGGGTAGAAAGAGAGAGGGGAAGTTAGACCAAGAAGGACTTCACAGTGTTTCCTAAGGTGCTGAAAAAGGCGAGGGCTCATCCCTGAGGCACACCTCACATGTTTATCTACTTTAGAACTCAACACACGAGATAATCAGATTGTTTTTCCCTGAAAGAATAAAATAGTAAAAGAGGAAAGGCACAGGAAAAGGAGAACAGAGAGTTTAAGATGAGCTAGGCATGAAGCCCACTGTGACATCCTGTTAGGCCTGCATCTAAGAATGGGCCCACAGTAGAACAATTTCAGCACAAATGTCATGGACATGAATACAAAAGAAGCACAGGTCAGCAGCTCAGAAACTGCTCTTGGCACATCAGGGTATCTGCAGGAGGATGTTCTTCCATGGAAACCCACAGACCCTGCAACAGATGATGCCAAACACTCTGTCCTTCATTTGAATCAAAAGTGGTTATCTTTGGCCCATAGAACAAAAGGTAAAAAGGGACAGTTTCACCTTGGGGGCCTGAAAACCAACTCTGGTTTATCTGAAAGAACAGTCCACAGTGCAGTTCACCAGCTCCTCATCTCTGTGGTAAGGACCACAGGAGAGGAAAAGTAGCCTCCTTGTGCTCACAGAAGTGGCTCACAGCTTTTATGGGTATTATGTTGAATTATGTGGAGTTTCTCAAACACAGCCCAAATGACAGCACCAGCATGACCCTGCAAGCAGAGGAAAAGCCGCTCTCATACTTGTGAGGACACTATTCACAGGGACCCACCTCAAAGGTCCAATCTGATTCCCAACTTCCCCTGGCACCAGGGTTTATGAACATGACCCTGGCTAAGTGAGGAGGAAACCTGAGCTCCACGGAAGGCTCAGTTCTGCATCACAGCCAGTCAACAGTGGACCTCACCCCCAGGCGCATGTTAGGTAGGGTAGAGGCTCAGTGTCATCTCTCCTGTCCAGACTTTCTAAGGCAGAATCTTGTCACACCTGAGCTAGGCAGACCTAAATACTGGGCTGCACATTCCACTTTCCTGTGGCCTGTTTCAGCAGATCCCGGTCTTTTTTAACCTCCATATTGTCATGCAACATTGAGTACTGCTCCTGGCTCTGTTGTCTACTCATCTTTAAGGAAGCCGCCTTTATCCCAGCCTCACTGAGACTCTGCTAAGCACAACACTAGAGATGGGATCAAGCTATTTAACAAAGGCTAGTCAGACCCGCCACAATGATGAGACCCCAGGGACCTGGTAATCATCATTCCCTCCACCCAAGTCCATACCCCTCCAACTATAGAGCTCTGACTGTCTACTGGGCCCACACAAGGGCCAATGTGACCATCTACTATAGCTGATTGTCCTTGCCAAAAAAAGCTCCTTCAGTGGCCAATAAGAAGTACAGCCCAAGTGCCCAGAGGCAAAAGATCTGACCTGTCTGTTTTGTCCCGTCACCTATATACCAAGTAGCCATGGAGAAGAAAGTTACAGGGAGCTAGGCTCAGAGCTGCCTGATCACTCACCATGACATGCTAGTAACAAGTGTAGACACTTCAAACAAGGTTCCCCAAAAACCCTCCCAATTCAGGCACAGGAAATTCTGGTCCTCCTTCAAAGAAATGACATGGGGGATGGGGTGCAGTGGAAGTCAGAGTGGAGAGGGCAAACTTCAAGGGAAAAAAAAAACTATCAAGGCCAGGGATTTAGCTCAGTGGCACTGTGTCTGCCTCGCAAGTTCAAGGTCCTGAGTTCAATCCTCAGTACCAAAAAAAAGAAAAAAAACTGCCAAAGAGCCCAACAGACCAGACTCCTTCCAGCTGTCACTTCTGGGCAGGGTTTGGCACTTTATTTTACTCATTTTTGGTACTGGGGATGGAACCCAGGCCCTCACACATGCTAATCAAGTGCTCTAACACTTAACTACACCCCCAGCCAAGGTTCAGCACTTTAAAACTGACTGAGGAAGCAGATAAGCAACCCTTAGAGGTAGTTTTACTCCAGCTAGATGAACAACTGATTAATATTCTTACATGGTCAAAAATGAAAGTCAAAAATAGGCTGTGCTCCCAAGTGCACAGGGAGATCCCACTCTCAAGTGGGTGCCCTTTCATAAAAGGCCCTGACTTGACTCAAGCAAAGAGAAATCTGAAGCCTAAAGAGTAACTAATTAAGCAGGGCTAAGGCAGAGCCTCCTAATTAAATCATAGTCCCTGATTAAATTGTGCACTGGGGAGAAATCTGCTCCCTCAGAAGCCTCAACATGGGATGTAGCCAACCAGCCTGTGACACAACCTGCCAGTCCTCACACAGGAAGCTGATAAACTGAACCATAAAAGCAAGGGTTTTCCTTTATTATTCTGTGAAGTTTCCCTGTTTGCAGAAAATTCAGAAAAGAGGTGAAGGAAAGGCCACCATAGCTGTTTCTCCTAGCATAATTCAGCATTCTAAAAGCCACCCAGAACAAACAAAAAACAAACCTGAGGCATGGTTTCACTCCAGCAGTAAAATGTAATCACACAGAAATTAAGTCAGAACTAAGAGGGTGACTGTGCCCCCATGTATGGGAGGGGCAGGGGTTCTACCCTATAGATATCCTTGTGGCCTCAATGCCATTAGCCAAGAGGCCAGAGAACATGAGATTGGAAGAGTTAAACCATGCACCCATCTGTGAAATCAAAAAGAAATTAAGCCAGTTGTATGTCCTATCTACTTTCAAAGTGAGCCCAGAGACATATGGCGGTGGATCACCAGCAAGTGTTTATCCCAGTGGAACCCTCAAAGCAAATGATGGTACCAAGTTAGGATTAAAAAATATTCTTGCCAAATCCCTAATCCACCCTAGTATTATGTTCTCTGCCCAGCAGGCCAGCAGCCATTCTTAATTCAAAAAATGCTGTTTGTTCAGTTAAAGACTATCTAGTTCAATCAGCACCTATAACAGCCCATTATGGAAGCATAGTAGTGGACAGATGTCAACTCCCAAGACCTGTGACACTCTCCAGCTCCCTCTGCAAGCCCATGAAGGGATCTACTGTCAATCAGGCATGGCCAACAAGGCTATTTCCTGCCATTTGTCAAGCAGATTAGCAGGTGTGTGCTTGAGTCCCAACATGCCTGAAAGTAAGAGGCCAGCCAGCCTGCTTCTGCCTTGTTTCTGTTATGAGGTGCCCCACCCCACAGCACAGGCATAACAGAGAGCATTTACTGGGTCAGTAAGGCACTCCCAAGGTCACTGAGGTTCAGTCAACTGGGGCTTACGCAGCCTCTGCCTTTGGCTACAGAAGTCTTATGACCACTACATACTAGCCAGCATGTGCAGACACAAGTGTGCACACCCAATACATACATCCTAAGAGACATGAGCTTCCCCTCTGCCTTCCAAGCATAGCCCTAGTGTCTCCCTGTGGGCAGCTCAGCCCACTCTCCTTCATTTAGGCATACATGGGACTTAGACTTAACCCAGTGAGCCACCATCTAAAATCAAGCACAGCCACTGGAAGAAACCCAGGTGCTTCACACCGAGGCAATTTCTCAGTCAGCCCATGGGCTGCCATGTACACCTGCCCAAAGCTCAGACTCACTAAGTCTGTGGTGAAGCCATTTTTTAGCATTTAATGGACAGGATAAAATTGAAGTCTAGAGAAGCAGATTGCTGAAATGCCTTATGATGTATATAAGGAAGAAGGTGTAAAGGTTCAAACCCAAATCAGACAAACAAACAAGAGGATATCTCTGTTGGAGTCCACCAGGTCAGACCAAGCATTCAGCAACCAGTAGGTATTAAAGGGCTCAGGTCTATACTGCTAATATGGACTCTCAACTCATCTACTTCAGAAACTGGTAGCTAAGCTCCCTGAGAGAGAGAGACAAATCCAGCCACCTCCCAACTACCCCAATACCTACCCTCAATGGCTGGCTTCTGTTTCTGTGTCAAATGTGACCTGGCTAAGAAACCAGTTGGACAGCTGCCTTGAATTATCAGAGCATTACCAGCTGACCCCCAATTTCTAAGGCCACAGATAGGCCTTAGAACCTGACAGCCTGAATTGACAATGTGAAACAGAAAGAAAAGGGCTAAGGGTGTAGGGGGAGTGGGAAGGGTAGGGGAAAGGAAATAAGGGAAAAGAAAAAAAAAATGAGGAAATGAAAAAATGGAATTAAAGTATTTGTAAATAGGGAAGGTGAAAGGTACAAGATCCCAATGATGAATGTGACTGTACTGTATACCTAAAATGTACCAATAAACTCAATGAGGGAAAAAAAAAAAACTGACAGCCTGACCTCTGGTACATGGAAGATGTTTTTTTTAAGAGCAATACTAGAGCTGCCATCTTGCGTCCTGCGTGTGTACTCCTAATCAGAGCTGGTCTACCCAAGACCTTCTGAGCGCCAGCCCTAGTCCCCTGAGCTGCCCCATAACCGCTCCGACAAGATGGAAGAAACAATCACGAACCAGGAAAAGCTTGCCAAACTGCAGGCATAAGTGTGCATTGGTGGAAAAGGAACCACTGACAGGAAGAAGGTGGATCACAGAACAGCTATAGCAGATGATAAAAAAACTTCAGTTCTCATTAAAGAATTTAGGGGTAAACAATATATCTGGTATTGAAGAGGTGAACAGTGGTCCACTTCAACAACCCAAAAGTTCAGGCATCTCTGGCAACAAACACTTTCACCTTTACATACTGGCCATGCTGAGAGAAAACAGCTGACAGAAATGCTACCCAGTATCTTGAACCAGCTTGGTGCAGATGTCTAACTAGTTTAAGGTGACTGGCTGAAGCTCTGCCCAAACAATCTGTGGATAGAAAAGCACCATTTGCTACTGGAGAGGATGATGATGATGAACTTCCAGATCTTGTGGAGAATTTTAATGAGGTTTCTAAGAATGAGGCAAACTGAATTGAGTCAGCTTCTGAAGAAGATAAAACTTGGAAGAAGTTACTGGGAACTGCTATTTTATATTATGACTGCTTTTTAAAATTGTTTCTGTTCATGGATCTGATAAATCTAGATGTCTAATATTTTTAAGCCCAAGCCTCTTGGACACTGCAGCTCTTTTCAGTATTTGCTTACGTACGATTCATTCTTTGAAGCCAAATAAAGCTGAGGAAGCCTGGGAATAAAGTTTGAAATAAAGATTAATAAAAATTTAAAAAATAAAAGCAATACAACATGATGGCACATGCTACTGGAGTGTTTGAAGGTAGAAGAATCATAAGTTTGAGCTCAGCTGGGGAAACTCAGTGAGATCCTCACTCAATATTTTAAAATACACATATGAAATAGGCCTGGGAACACAGCTCAATGGTACTGACCCTAGATTTGATCCTCAGTACCAGGAGAGGGGGGAAAAAGGCAACACAGGCTAGGTATCCCTTATGCAAATGCTGAAGTAAAAAAAAGTTTGGATTAAAAAAAAAATTTATGCCAGGGATTTAGTTCAGTGGTTCTACCGCCTGCCTCGCAAGCACAATGACCCAAGTTCGATTCCCATTACCAAAAAAAAAAAAAAAGTTTGGGTTTTGCTGGGTGTGGTGGCACATGCCTGTAAAGAATCTAGTTAAAAAAAAAAAAAGAATCATCAAGTTGTGGCATGCTTATTATGTTTCATAAAACTTTTGGTATAGTTAATATATAATTTCTTAAAAACAAAGACAGGTATATGGGGAAAATATCAAAGATGCTATGCACAAAAAGATAAAATATCATCATGTGGTGGTGACCTCTATAAAGTTTTTCTTCTCACTTTTTTTGTTTTAAAGAAAGTAAAAGAGGAGGGAAGAGAAAAGAGGGAAGGAAAGAAAAAAAGTGCTTCTTTTTAATGGAAAAAACAACTGTAAAATTTTCTTAAGAAAAACTCTCATTCAACAACTGGTATTTCTTGGGGTAAAAAGAGCCAAAAAGAAGAGGCTGCCACTTCCTGCTCTGGAATCGTCTCAGTAAACATGGAGAAGGCCCAGGGCACCAGCACTTCCTCACTGCTAACCAGAGGCTCTCAAGGCTGAAGTGTACTGGTCTCATATTGCTGCAGTTCTTCCAGAGAAGCAGAGAAAAGTCCACTTCCCCGTTTCACTCGAGCAAGCACTGGCCACCCCAAGTTTCCATCATTCTTTTTCATCTTGCTAGACCCAGAAAAACCCTATCTATATGTATTGGCTTTAAGGCCCAATTTCCCAGAGTGGGACCCTGGGCACTTAGGCAGGATTTAAGTGTGAGCTTACATTTAAAATACAAAGGGATGACTGGTCTCCTTGAAAGCAAAAAACTTGTTTTCCTCACAGAAGGCCCAACAATGGGCCTGAATATAACAGGCTTCCAAAGACACTGGTGGAAGAGAAAAAGAAAAACAATGATGGTAATTAAGAGAACTGGTGCCTGAAAAATTAAAGTAGGTCCATGTCAGGTCCACTTCATAAATATGTGGTATGAGGTGCTGGACTGTACCATCCCTGCCCCAAGGTCCCAGAAATCCATTTGTGGCTTAACCAGGCATGGCTTCCTCAAGCCCCTAAAGAAAGCAGAAAGATTAATTAGTCAAATCCTATGCCACTGATTTAATGGTCAGTGCAGACAAAGAGGCACAAGTATTTAGGCCCAAATATTGAGGGCGGTTCCAAACAGTCCAAGGAACTCTCACAGGGCACCTGAGGCTTTCAACCATCTCAGAGACAACTATGTACAGGAGGTCACTCTCCTCCTCTGTGGTCTAGTAACCGAAAAGCTCTTCTGCCTGAGGAATAAGAACACAGAGGGCCAAGTATAGCATCAAGAGGCCTGGGATCAAGTGGCCTCTGGCTTAATTACTAGCTTTGTGTCCACAAGCAAAGCACCTCGCTACCTGGAGCAGTTTTCTCATGTCAAGTGGGGCCAAAGGCCCTGCCTCTCCCACAACACTGTGGTGACACCAGAGTCTGAGCCAGGTACACAAATCAAAGGGGACAAGAGTAAAGCACCACCCAGTGTAAGGCACCTGTGGCTATTTAAATTTATTATTTTCAATCAGATTAGATTTTTAAATGCAGCCCCTCAGACACACTAACCACATTTCAAACACCCAATAGCCACATGAGACTCATAGCTACCCTGATGCACAGCAGAGACATAGAAAGTGTTCTGCACAGCCCTGTTCAACTGTCAGAGGACTCCTCAGTTGTTACTGGTTTTTCCCAACAACCCTCTGCTGATAAAACTACTGCTGGCACCAGGAAAGAACAGGGTAGCACTGGGAAATTCCAGTGTGCTTGCCCCTGGAGCACTTTCCACCTCCACCCACAACCCCTCAGCTCACAGAGAAAGACATGCCCAGCCCAGGCTGAGGCAGAGTTTTGTCCTCTTGGCCTCAACCACCCCTCCCTCCTCCCTGGACAGAGCATAAGGCTTTCCCTCCTCAGAAAGGTAGGTACCCACTGGAATGTGGCCTGAATGAACCATAGAGGCACAAATCAATGCAAATAGAATGCAAACTGGAATGCCTGAATGAATTAAAACAAAAACAAACAACAACAACAACAACAATCTCTGAAGCAAATAACAAGGTATATTAATCCCAAAGAGGCTGAACCACTGCAGATCCTAACCTAAGCAGCCTTCTAGCACTACAATGTGCAGCACAGCCATGGGTGACACCATTCTTCACTACCTGAGGAGAAGAGGTCAGCCCAAATAACTACACATTGACAGACTTGGGTGCAAACCCTGTGTCTGCTCACTTCTTCCAGACAGGAGGAAAGAAAAACTTCCACCACACATAAAAGCTAGAAATTAAATACCCTAAACCCCTAAGTCCCCAGTTTTAAAAGGGAAGAATCCAATCAGTCACCCTAGGAACACAAGCCAAACTGCCCACCTGGCTGGTGAACTGTCTGTTCTGCTGGACTGGGCAACAAATCCCACACTGACCATCTGGACCTTGTCCATCTGTGTACATATAAAACACAGCCCTCTAAGGTGACAAGAAGGATACAGAAGTGACCCCAAAGTAATCTCATAGAACTAACAAATGCTGAGGCAGATGGCTGAAGAGTCTGGGGGTAGGGAAGGCAGTAGAAAACTATCTATATGTGAAGCTGAAACCCAGGCTGCCCTGCATCATGCTCAGACAGATCAAATATATCTTCTTCACATGACATGTATTCAGAGGGCTATCCTCACATTCCAACAATCATGGAAAAGAACTAAGAGATGCTCAGAGACCCTGGGAGAGCAGTACCAAGCAGCCCAAGTTAAGAGAGGTGGGGGGTCTGTAAGCTGGTCCAAGCTGGCACACGGGCAGCAGAACACAGATACCTGCTCTGTACTTTCCTAGATGTGCAAGTGTGCCTCAAAGACGCCGGCAGGACAAGTGGCAATCTGTATGATGTGCTCGCTGCTAGTATGCTGGATTCTGGACAAGAATTCAAGTAACAGCTCAGAGCCTGATTCTCTTCATTACAAATACAGTCGAGTCCCTAGATTTAATGGAGTTGAGAGAAAAATCAACATGCAAGCAGCTATTAGTTTGCCATTCCCACCCCTCCTATTTTAGTCTAGACCAGCACTGCCACACTTTCTGCAGTGATGGAAATGTTCTCTATCTGTGCTGTCCAATACAGTAGCCATTAGCCAAAAGTGGCTACAGAGAACCTGAAATGTGGCTGGTTCGGACTGAGAAGCTGAATGTTGCACTGTATTTAATTTTAATTAATTTAAATATATTTGGTTCCAGGCGTATATGGTGCCATACAGTAGCATATGCCAATGATCCCAGCACTCAGGAGGCTGAAGCAGAAGGATAGCTGTGAGTTCAAGATCAGCATAGCAAAAAGAACTGCATAGCAAGACCCTATCTCAAAAAAAAAAATGTAATTATCACATGGCTACTAAATTGCTATGATAATTCAGACATTTAGCTCTAATCCCAGAGCTGTTTCTAAATTCAAGAACCAAGTAAAACAAGAACCTATCTACTATATATTGTGAGCAGACAGTGCAGCATAGGCACTGTCTTTTTAAGTTTTTAAATGTAAAGCATGCTCCACCGTCTGCAGCCATTGACAATTCTGGCAGGTTTGTGAAAATGTTGCTCTGCTCTGCTCCATCCCTGTCCCAGACCAGAGGCTTTCTTTAGTTTTAGCATAAAGCAGATGCCAACCAAGTGTGAGCAACTCAGGAAAGTGCTCCTAACAGTGGAGCTGAAATCTGAGTTAGTCTGAATGTGACATGGAACAAAGTCATTTAGGAGCCATAAACAGCCTACTTCAGTCATGAAGTCCAATAATAAACTTGGGCCTCATAATCTATGGTGCTGGGCTATCAATTAATACAGCTCTTTCCACTCAGTCATGCCACCAACTGAGTAGGAATGGAGGTATGCCCAGGAGTCAGCTCACAGGCCAGGGGCAAGTTGTGTTTCCATGTCCTGCCCAGCTAGGGAAGGTTTTAGGGAAGATGGGCTTAAACAAACAACTCTGCCCATAGTACTTGGCTAGGGCCTTTCAGCAAAGTGGGAGGGGGAAGTTTAACCTCTAGCCACACCATGTTATCTGGAAAGAAAGCAGCTGGTGACTCTAAAACTACAAAACCAGACAGCTCATTCCTGGCTGACACAACTTCTGCATATGTGAATAAAGACTTTCAGTTGACTTCCAAAGGCTGCAACCAGAACACGTACAGGGATCAGGCCAGTTAACTGAAATGACTCTGCCAGGTGAGGTACATCGAACTAGAAAAAAGCACTTGCCCAGATAAAAGACAGTCAATCAATATACAGCTTTGCAGGGTCTTTTATGTGAAATCTGTTGGCAACTAATTTCAATTCTCTTAAAGTCTTAGTGAGAGGGATGGAGGTGCAGCTCAGTGGTAGAGCACTTGGGTAGCATGCACAAATTGTGGGTTCTCAACACTGCAAACAACACGGAGGCTCAGCAAGGATGGGATTCAGCCCACAAACTGGTTGGCAACTCTTGAATTAACATTTGCCTCAAGTCAAAGGAAAAATAATCCCCAGTTTTTTTCTCAGATCCATAAAAGCTTAATGGCAAGACTTCTATAATGTTTGGGTTTTAGTATTTTGTTCTGGAATTGAACCCAGGGCCTTTGCATGGAGCTACATCCCCAATACTTTTTAAAATATTTTAATCTTTAACATTTTTTTTAAAACCTTGGGATAGGCTTTTATTAAATCAGTGAGGCTGGTCTCAAATCAAACTTTCCATCCATCTGCCTCAGTCTATCAAGAGTGCTAGGGGCTGGGGATTTAGCTCAGTGGTTCCACCACCAGCCCCACAAGCGCAAGATCTGAGTTCCATCCCCAGTACCAAAAGAAAACAAAAACCAAAAAAGCAAAAAACAACCAAAAGAGCTGGGTCTGCATGTGTGCATCAACATGCTCATACACCTGCACCATGTTTGAGTTATCCCTATTTGGCCCTTTCAGTTGTTTTTATCCAGTGAAGGACACCTTTCCCTCTGATGCTTGGTTTTCTAAGCTGTTGATTCCCTATTACTGCACAATCAATGATTATGATAAAAAATCTTGAAAGTGCTGGGTTTAAACGACATCTGGAAACCACAGAGCTAATTTTTTGTCTATTTATTTTTTTATTTTTTGAGAAAGGATCTCACCATGTAGTTTAGGCTGGCTTTGAACTCACTATGTAGCCTAGGCTGGTCTCGAACTCGGGATGATCCTCCTGCCTCTCTAACTCCAAGTGATGGAATTACAGACATGGGCCACCATGCCCGTGGTGCACTGGGGAGATGTAATTTCTTTTAATGGTCTCTAAGAAATTCCTTTTGGGAATTAGACAAACTCTGCCACTGCTCTTCCAAGGAAGAGGAAATGCAGAGGGACAGGGTTGGATAGCTGTACGCTTAAAGATAAAATGTAAGCTATCATAATTACCAAATAGGATAAATCTTCTGGGCTGGGAAAGCCAGGTGCAGGGGCAATAGCAATGAAAATGGGGTGGAATCAGAGGAAAGAACAACCCAGAGGAGGTAAGTTCTGTTTGACAACCCTTCCCGAAATAACTAAAAAAAAGCAAAGCCAAAACTTTCCTTTCTTCTGAACTCTTCTATGTCAAACAGCAAAACGGACAGGGCAATTTAACCCGTAGTGGCTCTACAGACACATACCTCTCTCCCAAATTACTAGTGTTTAAACAGGTTCTAGCAGTTTGTACTAACAACAGACGCTTTCCAGAAGCAAAACTTACAACTTCAACACTAGAACCACTCTGGAAGCAACAAGCTCTTAGCACCCTAATCACAACACTAGGACCACAGTGGAAGCAACAAGCTCTTAGCACCCTAATCACACTAGG